TTGGATCTTGATCAAATAATTATTCTCACCGCGAAAAAATCTCCCCGGAGTCTCTAGTTCCATCGTAGGAACAATGCAATAACATTTCTGCAAAAGCACTGTCTGTAGTGTTACCGAAACCCATTGTTGTTTTCCTTGCCCTCCATAAATCATACACAGACTCTCGAAGTCGAATAACCTTCGCCGAGCCGGGCAGACCCGACCTTCCTCTAGACCGCTTCTTCGGCGGCATTAACTTTTCAAATGACGTTTTTCACAGTCATACATGTAAGAATTAAAATGGATACTACGATAGTTTGTAGTTCGCACATGATTCAAGATGGAACTTTGAAAGCCCTAATTAGTAAGATGGAAGAAGATATCAAAGCGATTCCGCAACTTCGAGGAAAATAGCGTATTTTTCATTTATGAAAAATGATCTGGGCGCGCAGGGCATCTCGGTTGAAAATGGGCCTTTAAGTCTTCTTTTGTACTTATCCAGCTTTACTTCTTGCAAGCAGCACGCGGTGTGTTTTCGTTATTATTATTTTATTTTATGCTCGGTCGAAAAGCGCTCTATCTTGAGTCTAAGGATTTGCAATATGCAAACATAGATGAAAAGATTCTTCATTCTGATTGACTTAGATAAATACAGTTTTTAGGTAACACTGATTTGCATGTTCAATGGGGCGCGTAGTAAAGAATTAGAATTAATTATCGTACTTGCGAAGTCACCTGGACTAAGCGCGGCAGGAAAATTAGGTCAGGTGACTTATAACTTAAAAGGAACAATTTATGTTATAAGAACATTCGAAGCTGGTCATCAACGGTCGTAAACGCAAGCATCAAGATAAAGCGTCGATATAGTGAATCAAAGGATCCAACTACTCCGAAATACCAATTGTAAGTTACGAAACCGTTTGTCGCTTTGACTAAGAATATTGTAAATAATAATTTATCCCGAAATGATTTAATTTTCAGTTGTCTACGACGTAACCACGGATGTAACGAGCCGTGCTCATTCCAGTACAAATAAAACCTGACAACGTTGATCCCTGGTGGGCTAATCTTCAAAATAAGTAGCACCTTCAACCATAGAAGCGAATCAAACAAAATGTATCACTTTACCGCTTCTTGCAACCTCTTAAAATACTTTAAATACTTAAGATGTTTAAATATAGTTACCTTGGAGACCATTCCTTTTGACAATAAAGAAAAGATTCCTACTTCGAATCCAGTGTGAGACGGATTAAATTGAGTTTATTGCCATAACTTGTAAACCGTGAGTTTGTAACGTAAGTATTACCCAGCTCCCTTCATTTTAGTCGGAATTTGAACATTTTGGCAGCTTGAAAAAATTGATAAAATGCTTAAGAAACTGCGGTTTTGATTGAATGCGGTTGTTCAGACCAAGCTTAAGCGCACAAAAATATTATCTGGGTTTGAATGACTTGTAGGGACCTTAAGGAAGTTACGACGGCGACTGTAAAGTGCGTTTTCAAAAGTTGTACAGTTCTTAGCCAGCTTTTACAAAACTACAACGTGAAATCAAGCTCGATCTTAGAGCATAAACCCCAACAGAAAACTATTTAAGTTCCTTCTGGAATCAAACGCTGCTCACAAACGTCATGCAGAAGTTGAGGCGTGGCAACGTAGGAGACGACAAACACATAGAGCCTATCGCGAAATTCTAGCTAAGTTTTAATCGAATTCCAATCCTATTCTGTGTTGCCATTTCAACGAAAGACTCTTATTAGGTCCTTACTTTTGCATGTAAAACCCGTGTTTTTCCCTAGCACAATTATAAACAGCTCTGTTTTTCTATTTTTTTTTTTTATTTTTACGTGAAGCCATTAGTTATACTGAAAAGACTTGCATCAAGCTCTGATCTCAAGGTTCTGCAGTCCTTGTATGTTGCAGTTTGAAATTAAGTCAATGTGTTGTGGAAATGGTATAATAATAATAATAATAATAATAATAATAAAATCTTTATTACCGTGTCAATGTATTTAGCTCATAGAGCTAATTGGGGACACCTACTTTTACTAAATTAATAAAAAAAACTATGTACAGTATCATAATAAGTAACAATACAGCCGATAAACTATGCATTAAAATTTTAAAATATTTAGAAATATCAACAGTGTTCAGATAACATAAAAATACTTGTACCATGCAGATAATTAAAAAAAAAATCACGTGCTGCAAAGATTGCAGCAGTTGCCACTGTCTTCCACTAGGCTGACCAGGTCAACTCTACGGATTCTAGTTTTAAAGATACTAAGGCTTGGTAGTTCACGCATACCATTTTCTAATTTGGACCAAATATATGGTCCTTGATACCTTAGTGTGTGTTTACCATAGCGTATAGTGTTAAATCGTGGTATTTCAAAGTCACTATTCCTAAGGTTATAACGAGTACCCTTTCGAGTAAATATCTCAGATATGTAGCTGGGTACTAGATCGTTCTTTACTTTATACATTAGTGTTGCTATGTCCTGTAAGCGTCTATTATGAAGCGTAGGTAACTTAGCACGCTTAAGAAGTTCCTCATATGTCTCTGTTGTTGTTTTGAAGACCGCACGCAGGGCTCGCTCTTGGATGCGTTCGATTTTGCGCCCATCTGAAGATTTACAAAAGTTCCAGACTAAATGACAGTATGTTAAATGTGGCATTATAGCTGTTTTATACAGTATGAGCTTAGCTTGGCATGGTATTAGGTTACGCAAGCGCATGAGGACTCCTACTTTCTGGCTGGCTTTAGTGCATATTTCGCTAATGTGTTGTGTAAAGTTAAGGTTCTTGTCTATATTTACTCCTAATAGCTTGATTTCTTCAGTTTTCCTGATCNAAAAAAAAAAAAAAAAAAATCACGTGCTGCAAAGATTGCAGCAGTTGCCACTGTCTTCCACTAGGCTGACCAGGTCAACTCTACGGATTCTAGTTTTAAAGATACTAAGGCTTGGTAGTTCACGCATACCATTTTCTAATTTGGACCAAATATATGGTCCTTGATACCTTAGTGTGTGTTTACCATAGCGTATAGTGTTAAATCGTGGTATTTCAAAGTCACTATTCCTAAGGTTATAACGAGTACCCTTTCGAGTAAATTGGTCAGAAGCTCTTTTCAGACTAATGACCAACCAGGCACTTTTAAATGTGCTCGTGCACGATGCAAAACGTGTCCTTTTATTGACAGAACAGAGAAAATATCGGGACCCAAACGATCCATTAAGATCACCGATCACTTCACGTGCA